TCGTAGCGTTTTGTGGGAGAAACGTTTCATCATCATCATCATCAGGTGACTTCTTCAGTCTCAGCTGACTGCAGGTTTCAATCTTATAAACAGTCTGTGTGGATACAGACTGGATTCATTTCACTTATGAAGCAAAATATAAGAAATAACATTGATGTTGATGGAAACTCACATCAACCACCCCTAATCATTATCATTATTTAAAGACAATAATGGCAACTAATTGAACTGATGTATTTACATCATAATGTCTTCCTAAATGTAAGAAAATTACAATAATAGTAAATAATACATTAAATTCAATTTAAATATTCGAAATTGTTGTCAATAAAGAAAACTGCTACCTTCATGGTGTCTGCTGCTTTCTTCTCCCACTGAAACGCTACAGATCAACAGAATCAACCTTTTGGGATTTCCTTACCTGAATATTCGCCCGTGCATCAGGACGTCTTTAAGAAAGAAGCTGTTGTGTTGTCCTGTCAGACTGTAACGATGAGCGAGTGGATTGAGCACTCGGGCTGGGCTGTTAGACCACCACAGGCCTCACATAGCCCACTGTGATCTTAAGTGGGTCAGACAGGTGAAACTTTGTCTCAGTGCAAAGAAGTTACATATTTAACTGTTTACATGATGTTTGCTGGACGTTGACACTGTTTTTACGCAGTCATTTACAGTAAGTAATGGTTTAATCCTTTAACAGCTGAAATGATTTAAGGCTGCCATTGGTCATTAGGCAGGATCATGATTTTGTTGCTTGAGCTGCCGTTACTTATCCATGGCGTTATATATGTGTGGGGAAATAAACACCCCCTGCTTCCACCGTACTCGGTCTCACTGTAAATCCATTGGCAAAAGGCCGCCTTGACAAAGGCTCCCACGTACAGACATACGTCAGTTAATAACTGACATTTGAAATGATCTCATTGGCCTGTTGTGACGTGTCTGTGCGTTTCTACAAATCGCGACAACTAATCTGAGAGAAATAAGTCAAAACTTTCTGTTCATGTGAGGCTCACTGCTCACATCACACTTTTATTATTAGTGTTTCATGTGCATCGGTATACTGAACAAAACTTCTGTAAGCAAATGTGACGTGTGGAAGATTTTTACAAAGTCCAAGCTGCACTGCAAAACTGCAGGCAGCAAGAGTTAGTCGTTAGTAATTCATCGGCCTTTTTAAAAGAAGCAACAACAAGTCCTGCAGCAGCTTTGGAAGGAACACATGGATGATGTAAGACTTTCATGTTTTAATCATTTTTATTCAAAAGAGCAAATTTTCTTTGTTGCACATAATGGAAAAGTTTTCAAAACAGTTGAAACCTTCATCATCCCAACTAGCATTTGTTGGGATGATGAAGCAACCAGCAACTCTGGTTATAAAGTGTGTGAAGCACAGGAGGAGGAGTGACTGAGAGCAGAGAGGAGGAGCAGAGATTCAGGGAGGAGCTGAGCTGTTACTGAACTATAGAAGAGAGAAAAACCTCCACATTCAACAGAGTTCAACACAAAACAAACTTTATGTTCCTCAACATGCTGTCATTACATCACTGTGTGTTTCCTCTGATTCTTCTCACTCTCACAGGTCTGCTCACCTACACAGGAAACTATGTTCAACTCAAATGATTCATTAACGTCAATTATTGATTGAAAACGTTCTCTCTTCCTTCAGGTGTCACATGTGATCAGCTCACTCCAGTCAAAGATGAAGAGTCCAGTGTAGAAGGCAGCACAGTTACTCTGACCTACACAACAAAGTGTCTGATTATTTCTTCTGGTATCGACAACATCCAGGAAAACCCCAGAGTTCCTGATCTCACACTCACCTTCAGGATCAGTAGGAGAGAAAAAAGTTCCTGGATGAAGATTCAAGTGGAGGGAAAAGAAATCAAGATGAGCATCTCCTCTGCTGCAGTGTCTGACTCTGCTGTGTACTACTGTGCTTGAGCCCACAGTGACAGGAAACAGCAAAACTCTGTACAAAAACCTTTGGAGCAAAGACAACAGAATACTCCACAACATCCACTAGAGGGAGCCACACACTGTTAAACCTCTGATTCTTGTGTCATTGGACTGATGACAAAGACAACAGAGAAATGAAGCAGTAAAGATCAGAGACAGAGACAGAGCTGCTGTGGAAGCACAAAACTGTTTGATTGGCTGAGCTATTAAACTGGCCCCGCCCACTGAAGTTGAGCTCATCCAATGACATTATTTGTTGGTCATTGTGCTGCAGTGGAAGAACATTGTTCATGTGCTGTCTGTCTGGCTTTAATAACTCCAAAGACATGTTGCTGCACCTCTTTTTGCTTCTATCTCACATTATAGGTGAGTTTAAGAACAGGGATTAAAGTTTAGTTGAAGCTGCTGCATTAAGCAGATATACAGACTGCATTTCACTACTTTTCTTCTTTCTTTTTCCAGGACTAACAGCTGGAGACTCATCACTCCTCAACAACCTGAAGTCACTAAACAGAAGGAGAATCTGTCAACTCACATGTAGCTATGAGACAAGTTGCATGTTACCTTCTTATTGGTACAGACATGATTCTGACCTTCAGGCTCCTCAGTTTATACTCTGGAAAGGAGCAAAAGACGAGTCAAATGAATATATTCCTGATAACGATATGATCAGAAACATCAACATCAACTAATCTGACCATAGCAGCCCTAACCCTGGCAGACACAGCTCTCTACTACTGTGCTCTACAAACACAGTGATACAAAGTGTAGAAGAGGCTGTACAAAAACCTGAACACAGATATCTGACTACTCTTCAAAGAGGAGGGAAGTGGTATTCAAAGCACAGCTTCATATCAGATGGATTCTGCTAATTCCTGTTTTATCAGAGTCACTGTGGTTACAGCTGCTAATGAAACACTGTGGGAGGATTCACATGAGCAGCAAATCCACATCAACCACAAACCAACTGCAGGAACGTTCAGACACAATAAAAACTGTCAAACATCAAAAGCTGCTCATTTACACTATTTTATATTTAGTGGATGAGGACATGCAGAAATGCAGCAGAAGCAAAATAAACAGAGTAACAGAGGTTTATCTCTTTAAGGTAAAATCTCTCACATGAAGCTAAAAGTCCAACCAGGAAGACCATCTCATGCTTGTTCCATTTATTCTCTTTGAACTCATCACATCAGATGATGATGCTCTCCTTCATCATTGTCCTGCTCTCATGTTTAAGTGTTTCCCCTCTCAGTGTCAGATGGATTCAGCCCCTTTACAGAATCAAACTCAAAGTAAGGTCAGTACTTCCACGCTTTAAACGCTGCACGCTCATACTCTCTCCCGCAATCGATATATGATCCATTGTTGATCTGCACACAGCTGTTGTCACGCGCACTCGCTTACGTCACTGTCATGAGACATTCTCGCAAAAAAAATCACGGTTTTAGTAACGCAGTAACGCAGCGTTCCTACGGGAAAGTAACAGTAATCTAATTACCGTTTTTGCAATAGTAATCGTTACTTGGATTACAGTAACGCGTTACTGCCCATCTCTGATCATTTGTGTCGTCTACTTGCTGCAGTCTCCTCCTTTTCTCTGCAGCTGTGATTTCTCTTCCCTTTGACCTTCACTAAGTCTTCACTTGAACTTTGAATCTGAACAAAAGTTTTTCCGTCACATCTTCTCTTCATCTTTCACGGCTATAACTAAATGCAGACACAGATCCTCTTTGTCTCTCACAGGCTGTCAGTGATCTTCAGTCTGTTTCTGACTTTGTTTCTGCTCACAGTCAGAGGGAGCTGACATATTCAACATGAACACAGATCATGAAGTTACAGAGTTATTCTGTCTGTTCTGACTTAAAGTTGTTGATGGTCAAAGATGAATGGATCTTCAGATCTGCTCTGCTGCAGTGACAGACTCTGCTGTGAGGCCCACAGTGACAGCAAACCCACAGAGATGCTCCACTAGAGGGCGACATCATCCAGTAGGCGGGGCTCTCCTTCTGCACTGTGTTCAACCATTGTGTCAATAATAAGTGCTGCTGTGAAGAGAACAATTCTCAGACTGAATGTTGAACATCAGCTAGTTTCTCCTGTTGATTTAAACCTTGTTGTACAGATGGAACATTGGCTGTGGATTATTCTTGCTGCTCTTTTCTTTGGTGAGATACAAACATCAACATGTTTCCTCTGCTTAAATAAATGTGTGAGTCTGATTAATGGTGAGTTTTTAATCATGTTTATTGATCCATCTCTTCCTCTGCATGTTCTGTTCTTCCTCAGAGTGTAAAGGAGAAGACAAAGTGATCCAGGAACAAGGAGATGTCATTGCTGCTGAAGGAGACACAGTTACACTTGGATGTAGATATGAAACCAGTGACCCAGGCCCGACTTTGTTCTGGTACAAACAGGATGGAAACAACAGCCCCAAATTCATCCTGAGTCGTGTTAGTGGGGATGATGGAAACACAGCAGACGAGTTCAAGGAGAGATTTTCATCCACACTGGATTCCAGCATCAGATCAGTTCCTCTGAAGATCCAGAAGCTTCAGCTGTCTGACTCTGCTGTGTACTACTGTGCTCTGCAGCCCACAGTGACAGGAAACAGCAAAACTCTGTACAAAAACCTTTGGAGCAAAGACAACAGAATACTCCACAACATCCACTAGAGGGAGCCACACACTGTTAAACCTCTGATTCTTGTGTCATTGGACTGATGACAAAGACAACAGAGAAATGAAGCAGTAAAGATCAGAGACAGAGACAGAGCTGCTGTGGAAGCACAAAACTGTTTGATTGGCTGAGCTATTAAACTGGCCCCGCCCACTGAAGTTGAGCTCATCCAATGACATTATTTGTTGGTCATTGTGCTGCAGTGGAAGAACATTGTTCATGTGCTGTCTGTCTGGCTTTAATAACTCCAAAGACATGTTGCTGCACCTCTTTTTGCTTCTATCTCACATTATAGGTGAGTTTAAGAACAGGGATTAAAGTTTAGTTGAAGCTGCTGCATTAAGCAGATATACAGACTGCATTTCACTACTTTTCTTCTTTCTTTTTCCAGGACTAACAGCTGGAGACTCACTCACTCCTCAACAAACTGAAGTCACTAAAACAGAAGGAGA